CCCCTTCTATTCTTTTCCATCACCTTCCTTCTCTGTCCTTCTTTTCTTTCTAGGAGGCAAGTTAAATAATATGTGCCAAATCACTCCTTGGATTTGATACCTGTTAGTTTAACTTGTTTCCTCCCTTGGGTGGTTGGGCTCCTGATTTCTTGGGTGCTATTGGGGTGTGGAAACAAACCATGCCCTATCGACCCCTTCTGGATAGGTAGGGAATGGATTGGATCCATGGCTGGAGGGTGCTTTCACCCTTTCTTCTTTTCTTTTCTTTCTTTCCCCTCTCTCTCCCCTTCTTCCTTCTTCTTGTTTCTCCCTCCTCCTTGGTCTTCCTCTTCTTCTCTCCCTTCTTCTGAGTCTGGAAACCCACTAAGCTTCACTCATTTAAACACTCTTTGTTTTGATGTTTGAAGGTTGATGTGTCTTCCCTTTGGTGCTGGTTGGGTGGGTGGAACCCCACTGGTTATGTGGACTGGTGGGGTTGTGAGGAAACAAACCAACCTCTATTAACCCCTTCTGGATAGATAGAGGTTGATTTGGGTCCTGGCTTGTTGGTGTTCAACACCTCTCCTTTGCTTGTCCATCCCTCTTTCCCCTTCTTCTTCCTCTTGCTTCTCCCTCCTCCTTTGTTTCTCTCTCTTTTCCTTTGCCTCCTTCTTCTGTCTCTGGGAACACACCTAGATGCACTCACTTATACCCCTCTTTCGGTTGAGTATTTGCAAACTGGTGTGCACCCCCTACCTTTATGGTTTCAACTTGGATTCATCTTGGATGCTGTGTGGATGGCATGGATAATCTATCTTGCTTTGTTTTGTGAATCCTCTCATCAGGGTAGAGCACCATCACCTTATGCCTGAGTACTCCAACCTAGCTCATTTGTGTGAGACAGGTTTTGACTTGGTATTATTTGGTGCAAATGGTTCATTGGTGCTTCTAAACTCCTGATGGATTTGGTCCTGCTATTACTGGGTTTTGAGCCTTCAACCAAAGTTGGAGTACCTGCTGATCTCAGAGTAACAGATTTCGGCCATGGATACTTCACTGGCCATCTTCGCAGTCTACTACCTAGATAGCTGTACTTGGATCTGTGATGCTGTGATGCTGTGTGTCTTGTCTTATGCTTGCATTGTGGTTAGGGCCTGATGTTCCTTGATGAAAGCTAGTGCAGGGCCGACACACCTAACATCGGCAAAGCCAAATTAGAGAAATTTGGCTAACCGAAATCCAACCATCCGAGAGTCGACTCAGCGAGGACGGAATAGCCAACCATCCCCGTTCGAAATGCCGGCATCCCAACAACCGGCATTTCAAAGCCAACAAAACCGTAGCCAACCGTCCCACCCACTTAGAGCCACCATAAAACCGACTGCACCAGCCCCCGATGCCTGGTCCATCCACCTGGGTGGGTGTAATGGAAGAACCAAACGCCGGAAGGGAAGGAGCTAGAGCAGGGCCGACACACTTAACATCGGCAAAGCCAAATTAAAGAAATTTGGCTAACCGAAATCTAACCTTCCGAGAGTCAAATCAGCGAGGACGAAATAGCCAACCATCCCCGTTCGAAATGCCGGCATCCCAACAACCGGCATTTCGAAGGCCAACAAAACCGCTGCCAACCGTCCCACCCACTTAGGGCCACCATAAAACCGACTGCACTAGCCCCCGACGCCTGGTCTATCCACCTGGGTGGGTGTAATGGAAGAACCAAACGCCAGAAGGGAAGGAGCTAGAGCAGGGCCGACACACCTAACACCGGCACACCGA